TACTGTGTAACAAGAGGGAACGCCTTGTACCGAAGTTGCATGTCCTTCACGGCAGAGTCATACTCGACCATCGTGCTCGCTTCCAGGATCTTCTTCAACCAGCTGCGTGTGAACTTCTCGGCGAATTGACTATTTTTGATGTGCCACGTGCAAAGAAGGTGGGCAGACGTCGCAAAATTAATCATAATAGGATTAATCAACCCCATCTCCCTATCAGTGACAATGACTGAGGGATGTACATTAGGCCCAATCAGATCTCTCAACCGCTTCAGAACCCAGTCATAGTTGTTCTGGCTCTCGTCCTTCACAATTTCATATGCAATCAAGAAGTTCTTGTTGCACGGCGTCATCCCTATTATTTCCACAAACGACATCTTGTTCCTGTGCAAATGAGGGCAACAAAATCAAACAAAGAATAAAAAAACGTACCTACTCAGACATAATAATTAAGATTCGTACTAAATTTTTATTTACAAAGTAACATACATGTTGGTATTGTACGTGGAATCTATACCGACGTACCAATAATAGGTCTGAAAGAGAAGGGCTGACTGGGGATGCGACATGAACAAACGTGTCAAGGTGTGTTGTGTCCTTATCAGAATCGGTGAAAACTATGTATAATTAGCCCGGCTAGCCATATGCATAAGCTGGGAAGTCACATCTCTGTCTGCGAAACTCTCTGATCGGAGTTGAGCCCTATAGTTGTAAACCTGTTGACGAGTCGCGTTGTCAGACGGGTTTTTATCCTGTATCGCTGCCAATATTACCGCCGGTCTTGCCTGGGCAGCTATCAGGTCACGGACGATCTGTCTCGACTTTTCACTCAGTCCGCTGAACTGTCGATGACCCTCGGGATACTTAGCCATCGGATGATTATGGTATCCCTTCTGATCATCCAGAGGAAAACATACACTCCAGGAATCTTTCGTACCGGCCACTTTTTTCAATATCATCTCAAACAGACATCCGGCATATTTTGTTTTCGACTTTCTCAGGACAGCATTAACAAGATTGGATATTTTATTAACTCGATAACGTTCCCCTCGGTTACACCTCAGAATTCTCAATGTTCCTCCGTTTGTGTGCTTTGAAATAATTAGTTCAAAACCACAAAGAGTTGCCATACCGACTGCATACTTAACAGCTTTTTCAAGATTATCAAATATCTCATCTGTTCTGAAATAAGGCAATAATCAATATTATCTCCTCCAAAATCTTCAACTGGCGCCTACAATATATTACAATGTATGTTACCAATTTTAAAACATAATCAATTATAAGTA